AGGTGAGAAGACAATTTGCAAGAGGTGGCTCTCTCCTTCCACCATGTGGGGCCTGAGTACTGAACTCAGTTGTCAGGCTTGGAGGCAAGTACTTTTACCTGCTGAGCCATTTCTCTGGCCCAAAACAGTAGATTTTTTTTTTCTTAATTAAAATTTTAGGGGCTGGAGAGATGGCTCAGTGGTTAAGAGCACTGACCGCTCTTGCAGAGGACCTGGGTTTGATTCCTAGCACCCACAGGATGGCTACGAACTGTTCTTAACTCCAGTTTCAGGGGAATACAAAGCTCTCTTCTGACCTCTGCAGCATTTCACGACACGGGTGCACTCACATACATGCAGGCAATACGCTCATACACATAAAATAAAAATAATAAAATATTTAAAAAATTTTAATATATAGTGCTGGAGATAAACACAGGGACTTGTACATGTTCTATCATCAGTCCCACATTTCTTTTGAGATTTTGGGTTGTGTTGTGTCAGAGAGAGAGAGAGAGAGAGAGAGAGAGAGAGAGAGAGAGGAGAGGAAGGGAAGAAGGATGGGAAGGAAGGAGGGAAGGAAAGGGAGAGGATGAGTATGAATTTCATGTGTGTGTGCACTGGGAATTGAACCTAGGTCTTGGACATACTAGGCAAGAACTCGACCACCGAGCTATACTCCCAGTCTTTTTATTCAGGACAGGGTCGCTCTCACTTGTCAAGGCTGGCCTTGAACTCACAACTTCATTCTCCAAAGTGCTAAGATTACAGGAATGAGCCACCAAGTGTAGCTATGGCTGTGTTTTCTCTTTTTGTTCAAACTGTATTTTTTTCACCTGCCACTTTCTGACAAGAAAAATAAATACTGTAACAATCTTCGAATGCTGAACATGTTTGATAACTACTATAAACTCCATATATTTAGAAAGCAGTCCATAAATAATTACTGAATTGAGTCAGATGTTAAATAACAGTGATCAGTTATGTGCTAAAATTACTATCATCTTTGTATTCTATAAAGAACATGATGTCCTGGGGCTGGAGGGATGGCTCAGCAGTTAATGCTCCTGCTGCTCTTCTAAAGGACCCAAGTTCAGTTCCCAGCACCTACATCAGGCAATTCATAATAGCCTGTAATTCCAGCTCTGAGGGATTTGATGCCTTCTCTTGGCCTCCAAGGCTATCCACATACAAGTAGCATACATTCACACAGACACACAGACACACACACACATATACATACAAATAAATCTAAGGGGCTGGAAAGATGGCTCAGTGGTTAAGAGCATTAGCTGCTCTTTCAGAGGACCTAGGTTTGGTTCCTAGCACCCACATGGTGGCTAACAACTGTCAGTATCTCCAGTTCCAAGGGATCCAATGTGTGTGTGGCCTCTTTTGGCCTCTGTGGGCATTGCATGCATGTGGTATACTTACGACATGTAAGCAAAATACTCATACACATAAAAAAAGAAAAAAGAATGCGGTGTCCTAAGGCAGGGATAAAACACCTGACCCTAAATGTCCAGAGAAGCTCATATTTTTTATTGTAGTAACTCAAATTTAGGGGAAAAAAAGTATCAAAACTATCAGTCATAAGCTGAAGTTTAAAACACACGCACGCACATACACACACACACACACACAGAGAACGCATAGTTAACCATAGGAGCTCTTGGGATACTAAATATGACACACTTAATCATGAACCTGACCATTTAAATTCAGTGTTCTACTTCCATTTCTAAGAATAACTCATGCTTTTGGAGATTGGAAAAAAAAATGTATTTGGGAAGGCAGATAAAGAATTCCAAATAATTTGTCCTAGTTTCTTGTCTTTTTGAGATAGGGTCTCCCTGTAGCCTCAGCAGGCCTGGCACTTGCTATGTAGACCAGGCTGGCTGGCCTCGATTTCACAGAGATCTGCTTGCCTCTGCGCCATCACACCAGGCAATTTGTCCTAGTTTCTTATTGTTCACTTTAATAATCTACTTTGACCACTGAATACTATAGTGGTATCCAATAATATTGTATATCCATTGTCAATTTGTTGTATAAAATTTGGACCTGGAAACACCAGCAGTGATTTATTGAGGCCTATAATTAGAAATAACCATCATGAAAATTACATAATCTACTTAACTGATTAACTGAGAAGTCACCCAACTCTCACGTTTCTCATCTCTAGTAACAAATTTCATTCTCTCTTGGTTTGGCATGTGGTTTTCTTTTTGGAGGGTGGGTGGAAGTGGGGCAGTCTCACTCTAGCTGAGGCTGACATAGAACTCACTGTAGCCCTGACTGGCCTCTGACTCATGGTGATCCTCTTTAGCCTCTATAGTGGGCTGGGATTACAGGCATGATCCACCAGACCCAGCCTGGCATACCTTTTTAATTGTAGCTCTAATTATTTTCATTTATTTTTTTGAGGCAGGGTCTCACTATGTAGCTCTGGCTGGCCTGCAAATAGACTGACTTGCCTCTGACTCTGGTGTGCTGGAATTTAAGGTGTGCACCACCACACCGGCTAATTTTTTTTTTTTGAGATAGCATCTCCTTTTAGCCCTGGCTGTCCTGGAACTCACTATGTAGACCAGGCTGGCCTTCATCTTATGGAGATCTCCCTGCCTCTGCTTCCCGAGTGCTGGGATTAAAAGTGTGTGCCATCTCCCAGCATCCCAGCACACACATGGCTGCTAACATAATAACTGTCTGTAACTCCAGTTCCAGGGGATCCAACAGCCTCTTCTGTCCTCCAAGGGCATTGCACAACACAGGTGAACTTACCTACATAAAGGCAATACACATAAAATAAAAATAAATTAAAAAAAAGTGTGTACCATCATGCCCTGCCTACACATGGCTATTTTTAAAATTTTATTTACTATTTTATTATTTTAATTTTATGTGCATGAATGTATCACCTGCATGAATGTTAAGTGCACCTGTGTCTTGCAGTGCCCTCAGAGGTCTGAAGAGGGTGCTGGATCCCCTGGAACTGGAGATTCCATTGCTGATAGTCACAAAGTGAGTGCTGGGAATCAAACCCAGGTCCTCTGCAATAGCAGCCAGTGCCCTTAACGGTTGAGCCATCTCTCCAGGTCCTAATTTTAGTTTTATGTGTATGACTGTTTTGCCTGCATGTCCCTAAGTGCACTTGTGCATTAGTGGCCAGAGAGGGCACCAGATACCCTGAACTAGAGTTTACAGGCTGTTGGGTGCTGGAAACTGAACCAGGTCCTCTGCAAGAGCAACCAGTGCTTTTAACAGCTGAACCATCTCTCCAGCCTCTTATTTTTAAATTTTTATATTCTGGGATAGAGTCTCAAGTCTCAGGGTGGTTTTGAACTTGAACTTGTTATATAGCCAAGGCTGGTCTTGAACTCCTAATCTTCCTACCTCCCAAGTACTGAGGTTATAAGTGTAAGCTACCATGACCAGCCTCTCAATTCCAGTTATTTTTTGTGTAAACATTTATATTTGTACTCATTTGCTGAGACAAACTTAGCCTTTAAATGGACAGCTCAACTTAAATGATTAATAAAATAATTTGACCATTTTTTCCCCCTCCAAGTCATCCAGGCTTTTCTTCTTTTTATTTTTTGAGATCTGGTCTCAGATATCCCAGGCTAGCCTGGAAATCACTAGGTAGGCCTTGAATTTCTGATCCTCCTGCCTCCATCTCCAGAGTACAGGACAGCACTTCCACACTATTTTATTTGGGTGCTGGGGATTGAACCCAGGGCTCCCTGTCTGCTAGGCAAATACCCTAACAATTGAGCTACATGCCCACTCCTAGCTTTTTCTTAAGTCAACAGAAGCAATACAATATTTCTAAAAGTCAAAAAATAAGGAGGGCTTAGGGTGGGGAATAACTGTAACTGACTGCAGTTTCTACACCAACCAACCTGCTCTAAATGCCTTAAAATCCAATTTTCTTTAAGTAGCTCTAAAACTACTCAAATTTCCTTAATTTTATATTTACTTCTCATCTACTGCATACAAATCAACAAGGAACTGAGTGTCTACGCTCAAATTTGTCATACATTGTAAAAGAATTTGGGTAAGTTTTAACTACTGCTGACAGGAAAAAAAAGGCTTGCTTTAAATTGATGCTCACTTTCTACTTACTGGAATGAAGACCTCTGGTCTTTGTGTGATCACATGAAAAAGGGGGTTCAGCCGGGCTTGGTGGCGCACGCCTTTAGTCCCAGCACTTGGGAGGCAGAGACAGGCGGATGGCTGTGAGTTCAAGGCCAGCCTGGTCTACATAGTGAATTCAGGTCAGCTGGGACTACAGGGAGACCCTGTCTCAAAAGAAAGAAAAAGGGGGTTCAAAAGGTTTGGAGGAAATGCTAAGGAACAGGAAGCCAATTAGCTTCTATCAATACGAAATAAGTATGGAACCAAAAAGACCTCAGAGAACTCATAGCAAATAACTTGGGACCACAGGAGCGTACCCATCACCGTAAGACATCTAAGGAGCACCGGTTCCCAGCGGCATCTCTTTGCGTCCTGGGACTTCCTCCTTACCCACCGCACCCTAGGACGCGCGCACAGCGAGGAGAGCTAGGTTACATTTCCCCTGGTGCCGCCCGCCAGGATGATCTCAGACAGGAGCGCCGCGATTCTCCCCACTTCTGGCCGGGCTCACCCCACTGTCCTGAGGTGCCGGGAGGCCGAGTCCCCAGTTAGATTTAAGCCTGCCTGCGGAGCCTAAGAGCCGCCCTCATCCCTCCAGAATGGTGATGGAGGCAGGCTCCGGGTCCCCACCTAGCCAAGCAATCCCTTCCCAAGCCTCGGACCCATCGCAAGCCCCGCCCTCCTTCCCAGGCCCAGTCCTCCCTCCAGGGCTCACCCTAAGGGCTCCCCCACCGCCCACAAAACCGATCTAGAGTCCCCGAGAGCAAGCCGAGCGCCACCCCACGCCCTCCTCGGCTTAAAGCGCAGCGCCTCGCCCTGGACCTGGAAACAGGAGAAGGTGACTGGCCGGCTCCGGAGGGGCTCAGGCCCCCCGCACTCACCATCCTCAAGCCGAGTCCCTCCTCCTCCTCCTCCTCCGCCTCCTCCTCCTCCTCCTCCTTCCTGCCTCCCCCGTTACCAGGGGTAACTGCTGCGGCGCCGCCCCCGACGTCCCTCGCACGCACAGCCGAGTTGCAGAGCAGCGGGATGGGGCGGGGTTCAGCGCCACTTTAGCCAAAGTGCGCGAGCGCACCAAAGCTCCCACCCACTGCGCAGGCGGACTGGGTGGCGGCGGGAGGTGGGGGCTGGCTGGCAGGCGAGCCCAGGAGGGGTGCAAACCCGCCTCCGTGGCTGGCTCGAGCCTCCCGGGCTGTGATTGGTCGGGAAGGATGGGTGAAGGGGCGGGCGAGGAGGTGGTGCCTGGTCCCTGGCGGGCGGTGCGCGGAGTCTAGGCTTCCTGGCGTGCTGCGACTGGTGGCCGTGGTCTCGGTGCATCCCTCCTGGGACCAGGTAAGGGGCGTCAAGGGAAGGCCAGCCGCAGACCTATTTCCAATCTCCGAACGCCTCTGGAGGGAGCTTGAATCGACCTTGACTGTGCTCAGGCTGTAATGCAGCCCGGGCTGGACTGCCAGATGCAGAAGCCACGTGGCGGGTGGGGCGGACTAGGGCTGCCTGTGGACGTCTGGTTCCCCATGTCCTCGGATGTCCGGCTTTGGGACGCGGGAGTTGTGGGCTGCACCCCTATTTCTACAGTACTGTGTTAGAATCCCGGATGGGGAATTCCTGCTGGAAGGGAGGAGGTCGCATGAGAGAGGTCAGGAGGCTTGCTGGGCACTGCCCCCAGTAGTGAGGTGAGCTGACAGCCGATTGTAGGATGGTGTGGGATACACTGGACTGGACATTGGACTGGAAGTGCTACCCCCACTCCTCTCATGTAGAGGACCAATGAAGAGTTAACCCTTGCCTGTGTGCCAGGTCAGGTTCTGGACACTAGAGAAGCGGGGCTGGATACAGTCTGCCTTCACAGAAATTACATTCTTGCCAGTGAGATGTGTTTTCGTCAAGGTTCGTTTCATTCTTACAATCCTAGAATTCGGTCGTCGAACTGACTTGTACAAAACACTGTTTACAGTGTTGCATGTAAACACTGCAGCACAGGTAGAGGGAATAGAGTGACATCTTCCCAGGGATTGAACCCAGAATCCAGGGCCTTGTGCACTGAGCTACACCACATCCCCAACCCTAGAGTGTTTTGCATCCAAAGAGAACTTTTCTAATAGCTGATAAAGCCTCCCATCTGGAAGTTTGCTGATACGTATGTATGTACCTACCTCACAAATCAAGTACTTAGAGCATTGCTTGCCACAAATATAATTCATAGTTTAATCTAGATTTTAGGTTTCACTGCTCTTCATACCAATGTAGTTAGGGTGGCTGTAGTAGACGCAGATTTTCCCCGGAATGGTTTTCAGCTACTTTTGCGTTCAACTAAAGTATTTTTAAAAACATCTACATGCATAATCTGCCTCAGATCCTTGAAGAGAAACTCAGTTTAGAACCTTGACTAAGGATGTACAAGGTGAGTGGTTAGACTATAGCATGTACCTCTATCATCTATTGGCCTCTAGACTGTTGATTATTTAGTGGCTAAATGCGAATTCAGATCTGGTGGTGTGGTATCTGCTATCACAGTTGACATGGAGTCAGATGAGTGTCTGTAAGCATGGGTCTGGGCCTACTTGTTTAATCATCACTCTCATTCTCCAGCTTGCTCTAGGCAACCTTGACAGGAATCCTCCCCTATTTTGGTGGTTTTTGCTCTGGCCTTCTTGAGTCTTGAGCTGTCTGGATCTTCCAGGCCCTAGTGCATGTAGGGAAATACTCTTATCACAGAGTTAATGCCCATAGCCCTTGCTCTATGAGCTTTGATACTGTTTGCCAGAGAAGGTCAGCTCAGGGAAGGAAAAATTCTACTTTTTCATTTTTTCCTCTTCCCTCTCTGTGTCCACTCTCTCTTGCTCTCTCATTAAAATAAAAAAATTTTTTTTTACAGTTTTTTACTTAGTCGGGGAGGGGGGGGGAGGTGAGCATGTGCCATGGCACATGTGTGGAGGACAGAGGACACCTTGCTGCAGTCAGTTGTCTTCTATCATGTGGCTTCTGGAGACTGAACTCAAATTGTCAGACTTGGTGACCTGTCCTTTACCCACTGAGCCATCCCATGGGCCCCCTCTGATTTTTTTTTTTTTCGATTCAGAGTCTCATTGCATAGCTCGATCCTCCTGCTTCTGCCTCCCAGGCACTGAGATTACAGGCATGTGCTACCAGGCCTGGCCTATTTATTTATTTATTTATTTATTTATTTATTTACTTGGTATGTGGTATTTTGTAGGTGTGTGGTGTATACACATGCTCCTGTAGGTACATACATGTGTGTGTGCCTGCATGCTGGAGCCAGATGTTGACACTGGGTGTCTTCCTTAATCCTTCTCCACCTTATTTTTTTTTTTTTAATTTTTAATTTTTGGTCTTTTTGAGACAGGGTCTCTCTGTAGCCCTACCTGGCCTGGAACTTGCTATGTAGACCAGGCTGGCTTTGAACTCACAGAGATCCACCTGCCTCTGCCTCCCAAGTGCTGGGATTAAAGGCATGTGCCACCATACCTGGTCCACCTTATTTTTTGAGACAGGGCCTTTTACTGAACCTGAAGCTTGTTCAGTTAGGTTGGTTGGCCAGTAAGCTCCAGAGATTTGCTTCTTGCCGCAGCTCTGGGGTTATAGATACACTCCTTTACTATAAAGTGCCAACTTTATAGACGGAGCCATCTCTGTAGCTCCTTACTTTTTTTTTTTTTTTTGAAAGAGAATTAGGGCCTGGAGAGATGGCTCAGCTCTTAAGAGCATTAGCTGTTCTTGCAGAGGACCTGGGTTCAGTTGCCAGCACCCACATGGTGGCAAATAACCATCTCTAACTCCAGGTCCAGGGGATCCAACACGCTCTTCTGACCTTTTCAAGCATTGCACAACATGGGTGCACTTACATGCAGGAAATACATTCATATACATTAAATAGATAAAATATTTTTAAAAGGGTGAGAGAATATAAACTGTAGTGGAGAGAGGACCTATTTAGGTGACTTAGGGTCACAGCCTTGTGACCTTGGAGAAGTGAAGTCCTGCTACTGTTGGATTTTTGACTTGATCTGTTTGATGTTCACCTTTCTGTCTGTCAGAAGTGCCTGGTGCTGGCCCGTGTATATGGCAGATACACTGGAAGGACTAGATGTCACTTGTGTGGGAGGAGGGAGAGTAACCATGGACAAAACTGAGAGATCATATATGACTTGGTAAGGTGGGATTGACAATTTGTAATTTCATGAAAGAAATTCTGCTATTCTGTAACCAAGGCAAGCTCTGAGTTTGACTTAACAGAAGTGATGTCCTTGATGCCAAGAGAACCCAAGAATAAATTGCAACCTCTTTCTGGCGGTATATATTTATGGAGGGCATATGAAAGATGCAGCAGTGAATGTTATAGACATGGTCATAGTGCTCATGAACTTCACAGTCTGTCAGGGGAGGCAGACTTTACGCAAATAACTGTAAATGACAAAAAAGTGACAGATATAGAGGCCCATGCTGTGAAGAACAGGATGCTGTGGGAGCATAAAATGGAATGACCCGAGTTTGCCCTGAGGAGTCGGAGAACTGTGCCCTTTAAAAAGGGGAAATGTTTCAGATACGTAATGTAGATTTGGAGAGGAGCCTTATGGTTTATATCAAATAAGGACTGTGCACTTTCTATCCTGACCTCACAGAAGAAAGCAAAAATGTGTCAGTGAGATGGCTCAGTGGATAAAGGCACTTGTTACCTAGCCTGATGAGCTGAGTTTGATCCCCAAAATCCACAGAGTGGAAGGTGAGAACTGATTACTGCACAGGTTCTCTGACCTCCACATGTGCTCTGTGGCATGTGCCCCTCTAATAAATAAGTAAATGTAATAATATAAAAAGCAATAGTTGTCTGGCGTGGTGGTGCATGCCTTTAATCCTAGCACTCAGGAGGTAGAGGCAGGTGGATCTCTGTGAGTTCGAGGCCCAGCCTGGTCTCCGTAGTGAATCCAGGACAGCTGGGGCTTCAGGGAGACCCTGTCTCAAAAAGATCAAAAAAAGCCGGGCATGGTGGCACACGCCTGTAGTCCCAGCACTTGGGAGGCAGAGGCAGGCGGATCTCTGTGAGTTCAAGGCCAGCCTGGTCTACATAGTGAGTTCCAGAACAGCTGGGGCTTACAGGGAAATCCTGCTTCAAAAAGACTAAAAAAAACCCCAAAAAACAAAAAACAACAGTTGAGCCAGGCCTGGTAGCACACGCCTTTGATCCCAGCACTGGAGGCAGAAGCAGGCAGATCTCTGTGAATTTGAGGCCAGCCTGGTCTGTGTAGCAAGTTCCAGGCCAGCTGGTGCTATAGGGAGACACTGTCTCAAAAAAGAAAAACAACAACAACAAAACAATAGTCATATGTATAATAGCACATCATAATAGAATGGCTTCTCCAATGAGAGACAGAGAACTTTGTAATGTTAAGCTGAGGCTGGGGAGAGATGACAGAGAAGGTTGGCTGTGTAGGTATATGTATGTATAGTGTGTTGGGGGGTCAGTGCATTTTGCTTAGTTGATCAGGCTGTCCCCGGATAATGTGAGCTTGTGACTCTGAACACCAAGGAAATGTGTGATTTGCCAACCCACCAAGCTCCTTTTAGCTTCTTTTCCCTGAGTGCAGTTGGACTGAGAAAATTGCCTTTGGTCTTGGATCCAACCTGCTGGGACCCAGTGGAATAAGAGACAAGTCAGAGTTCTGGTAGTGGACACTTGCATTCTTAGCTTCTGCCTTCTCCAGAGACTGCCACTTCAGGCATAGCATTAGGGCTAGGCAAGGATGTTGTGGGCACTGCATGTTAGCCCTTCCCCCTTTCCAGGTTCCTTCATCTTAGAAATAACTGGCTCCTAGCTGGGTGTGGTGGCACATGCCTTTAGTCCCAGCAGAGGCAGAGGTAGGTGGATCTCTGTGAGTTCAAGACCAGCTGGGGCTTCAGGGAGACCCTGTCTCTAAAAGACCGGGAAAAAAAAAAAAAAACGGTTGGAGAGATGGCTCAGTGGTTAAGAGCACTGACTGCTCTTGCACAGGACCCGGGTTCGATTCCCAGCACCCATATGGTGGCTACGAACTGTTCTTAACTCCATCCAGTTCCAGGGGAATTCAAAGCCCTCTTCTGATTGCCACGGCATTTCACGACATAGGTGCACTCACATACATGCAGGCAATTCACTCATACACATAAAAATAACAAAGTATTTAAAAAAAAGAAAAAGAGAAATATCTGGCTCCTAGCATATCAACCACTTGGCCTCTCCTACCCTAACAACAACAGAAAATTTAAAGTTGACCCTATTCCCTCCTGTTGTCTCCATCTGCCTCCTATCTCTCCTGCATTCTTTCCCATCTCTAGCCCCTCTCCTCCTTTCTTAGCCTCTTAAATTTAGCATTTCTTCAGGGCTGATCTTCAGCTCTCTCCCATTCTCAGAAGTATTCTCACTAGAAAATTTCAGCTTAAATGACCTCAGTGCTGCTGACTGTGCTTGTTTGCTTCTAGCCTAGACCTTTGTACTTTCTTTCAAGCTTGAATACTCACCTACAGGCAAGCTGAACTCTTCTTCAGCAGATGCTAAATCCTCATTCTAGGCACCAGGGTGATCATGTTGAGCAAAATGAATATATCCCCTGACTTAACAGGTAAAGAGCTGCACTCTTTTGAACCATGAGCCAAAAATAATCCTTTCCTTTCCTAAATTGCTTTTGTTAGGTATTTTGTCACAGGGACAAGACAGTAACCAATACAGAAAATTGACACCTAGGAGTGAGACTTTTGCTGTGATAAATTTGCTGTGGCTTGTAGGCCTTTGAAACTGGTTTGCAGGAGGAATATGGGTGAGTTTGGAGCTGTGCTATAAGAAGAGCTTAATGGGATCGTTTTGGAGTTTGGAACACTAGAATTCCAAGAAATATGTATATAGTGGAGGCTTGCCTGATGAGGTTTCAGAGGGGAACTAGGAATCTATTGGGAAGTAGCCTAGAAGGCATTCATGTTACTGCCGGTGCCAGCTGGCCAAAACGGACAGTACCTGAAAAGGGGGAGTGAGGATTGAAAGAAAAGAAAGAAGACAGGAAAGACACTTCTTGGGAGGGCTCACAGTAAATACTGCCAGCCTCGATTTATTTCAGTACTGTCTTTTTATACAGAAGAACTCAATTAGTTACAATTGCTGTATTTCCCCACCTGTATCTGAGGGTCAGGGAGCGGTCAGATCAAAGGCTTCTTGGATCCTTTTGTTTACCACTAATGCCTCAAGGTCAGGTATTGTGAGGCTCTCCAGAAAACTTCGCCCTCCTGAATGGGCAGGTTAAGTACTGGTTTGCATGACACAAACTCAGTAAATGAGGCTGCCAACAGCTCAATGATTAGCGGCTCCCGACATGTTACTTTCTGGCAAATGTGCATTCTGCCCATGTTTTCCAAAGTTTGAGTGAGGCCCCTAAGTTGTTTGCGGAAATTTCAAGAAAGCATAACATCAAGGCTATGTCATGATTACTATCCAATAATTTTATTTTTTTCTTTTTGTCTTTTTGAGACAGGGTCTTTCTATAGCCCCAGCTGTCCTGGAACTCACTATGTGGACCAGGCTGGCCTCAAACTCACAAAGATCCACCTGCCTCTGCTTCCCAAGTGCTGGGATTAAAGGTGTGCGCCATCATGCCCAGCTCTTTATGTTTTTTGAGACAGGGTCTCCCTGTAGCCCCAGCTGGCCTGGAACTCACTATGTAGACCAGGCTGGCTGCCTTGAACTCACAGAGATCCACCCGCCTCTGCCTCCCAAGGACGGGTGCTATCACACCCATCCCCAATAATCTTTTTTTTTTGGTCTTTTTGAGACAGGGTCTCCCTGTAGCCCCAGCTGTCCTAGAAGTCACTATGTAGACTGGGCTGGCCTTGAACTCACAGAGATCTGCCTGCCTCTGCCTCCTGCATGCTGGGATTAAAGGCATGCACCACCACACCTGGCCCAATAATCTTTTTTTAAAAAATTATTTTTATTTTGTGTGTATTGCCTGCATGTGTGTAAGTACACCTGTGTTGTATAATGCCCAAGGAGGTCAGAAGAGGGCATTGAATCCCCTGGAACTAGAGATACAGACATTTGTTAACCATGTGGGTGCTGGGAACTGAACCCAGGTCCTCTGCAAGAGCAGCCTGTGCTCTTAACCACAGAGCCATTTCTTCAGCCCCTATGTAATAATCTTAGATCTACAGTGAGAAAAAGCAGAAAGATATAAGAAACAGTGTGTGAGCAAGTTTAAAGACATTGACAAAGTGGACATGGAGAAAGCAGAGGTAGTTAAAGAGGTGAGTGCCATTAAAGAGAAACTCCGTGTTCTTCACTAGGATGATGGGAAAGTGGCTCTGAGGACAATCTGTTCCTCCAATCTAAGGCTTCACTTTGTGAAAAATGCAAATCCATTTGTAAGGAGAGAATCTGAATTGAAAATGCCTCCAAAAGTGGTTCACTGCTACTCAAGAGTATCCCCCACCTGGGAAATTGTTTTCCCAAGTTTGGTTGCCAAGGCATACAGAGGTCACTCTTAGCTGTGGTTGAAAGGGGACCACATCGTGAGCAGTAGAATTCAGCAGAATTGTTCGTGAGGATTGTCAAGCATGCAGAGTGCAAGAGTACAGGGTCATGGAGGCTATCACCAAGGTTTTAGAAAGCTGCTGGGATCAGACAAGTGATCCTCTGTTAGTGAGCCTGTGCCCTTTGCTTTCCACAGGTACTTCTGGGTACCCCCCCCCCCCATACACACTTTCCCCATTAGGTGAGGTGGGAAGACTGTAGGTGACAAGAGTTCCTCTTTCCCAAGCTGGTTAGGCTCTGGTGAAAAAGTTTCTCTGAGGGCAGGCCTTGTCAAGGGCAGTGGGTTCCTGTTTCAGGATGGCATCTTCTCTCCCTACCAGAAGCACCAAGAGAAATGATGCTGTTTCACAGGTGGGCTCTAATTGCTTTGTTAGACTCCGAGCACCCCTGGAACAGGTACTGTCTTGTCTCTTTATCGAATCTCTCCCACAGTGTGGTCAAGAACAAGGCTGGCTAGCATATACCCAGGAAACACTTACTGGACTGAGTTACTTAGTTGGGTGAACAATCATAGGGGCCTTCTAGATCAAAAGGGAAGATGGACTTCCGGGCATGTTGATGTACACCTTTAGTCCTAGCACTTGGGAGGCAGAGGCAGGCAGATCTCTGTTAGTTCAAGGCCAGCCTGATCTACATAGTGAGTTCCAGGCCAAAAAAAAAAAAAAAGGGAGGGGGGAAGATACCCTTGGTGAAACTGGTGAAAGCAGGCAGTCTCTGACTGCCAGTGCCTCTGGGACAGATTTTGATTTGGAAGTCAGTCCTCATTCTTCCTCTGTCCCTTAAGTTCACAATTTTGTGTCTAAACAAGATGGAGGCCAACCTGTCTGGCTTTAACATTGATGCTCCCCGCTGGGACCAATGCACTTTCCTGGGTCGTGTGAAACACTTCTTTAACATCACGGATCCCCGCACTGTCTTCGTATCAGAGCAGGAGCTGGACTTGGCCAAAGTGTTGGTGGAGAAGAGCAGGTGAGTGAGTGTTGAGGGGATACAGCTGGAGACATGAGCATTGACGGACTCTCTAGGGGAGGTAGAAACTGAAGGTGAAAGAGTTGGCAGAGGTCTCAGGAAGAAGGGAGAAGTAAGAGGGAGACTGGGATCGGGCCAGTGGTAATGCTTGTTGTCCTTTGGTGACAGGATGGGGGTTGTGCCTCCTGGCACCCAACTGGAACAGCTGCTGTATGCCAAGAAGCTGTATGACTCAGCCTTCCACCCAGACACCGGGGAGAAGATGAATGTCATTGGGCGCATGTCCTTCCAGGTTCCCGGTGGCATGATCATCACAGGCTTCATGCTCCAGTTCTACAGGTAGGCCCTGAGAGCCAGGATGAGGTTAAGTTAGGCAGGGAGTCACTTGCAATAGTAATAGCAATCTTCTTGATTAGTCACTGACCAGATACTGGGCACTATGCTAAGTTCTTCGCAGCTATGGCCTCATGTAACCCTCTCCACAGCCCTATATGTTTCCCTTTGATTGATGGAGTTCTAGAGAGGCTAAGTCCAAGTTCATGATCGAGAACTATAGGGGCCTGGATGATAATGGAAACATCATTAGAGGTCTCTCTAGTACTCAATGAATAGGCTATCCATTCTAAGTCTTTAAAAAAATTTTTTTTAAATCGTTTTGAGACAGGGTCTCCCTGTAGCCCCAGTTGCCTAGAACTCTTTTTTTAGGCAGAGGCAGGCAGATCTCTGTGAGTTCAAGGCCAGCCTGGTCTCCATCTTCTGACTTCGGTGAGCGTTGCATGACATGGATGCACTTACATACCTGCAAGTACTACACAAAACACATAATGTAAAAATAACAAAATATATTTTTTTAAATTTTTATTATTTTTATTTTATATGTATGCGTGTATTCCCTGCATGTTGGTAAGTGCACCCGTGTCGTGCAATGCCCGTGGAGGTCAGAAAAGGCTGTCAGATCCCCTGGGACAGGAATTATGGACAGTTGTTAGCTTCCACGTGGGTGCAGGGATTCGAACCCGGGTCTTCTGCAAGAACAGTGTTCTTAACCGCTGAGCCATCTCTCCAGCCCTATTATTTTTATTTTATGTGTATGAGTATATTGCCTGCATGTAGGAAGGTACACCTATGCCATACAATGGGTGTACCACCAGTGGGAGGTCAGAAGAGGGCATCAGATCCCCTGGAACTGGAGTTACAGATGGTTGTTACCTGCCAAGTGGGTGCTGGGAATCGAACTTGGGTCTTCTGCAAGAGCAGTCAGTGCTCTTAACCACTGAGCCATCTTTCCAGCCCCTCGCCTAGAACTCTTTATAGAGACCTGTGAGATCTGCCTGCCCCTGCCTCCTGAGTGCTGGGCTAAAGGTATGTGTCAGTATGTGTGGCTATTTTTTTTTTTTTTTTTTTTTTTGGTGTTTTTGAAACAGGGTCTCACTATGCAGCCCTGGCTGGCCTGGAACTCACTATGTAGACAAGGCTGGCCTAGAACTCACAGAGATCCTCCTTTCTTTGTCTCTCAAGTGCTTGGATTAAAGGTGCTGGCTGAAAAAAAACCTTTTAAAAAATTACATTTATTTTATTGTGTGTGTTTAGGGAAGGGGTACATGACACAGCATGCATGTGGAGGGTTCTCTCCATGATGTGAAACCCTGGGATCGAACTCAAGTTGTTATGGTGGCAAGTGCCTTTTATGCATGAGCCATTTTACTAGCTTCCTAAGTTCTTAAAGTACGAATTCCTCAGTGAATTTATGTTTCTAATTTAACATAGAAATGAAAAAAATGAAGTCACCAGGTGTGGTGGCACATGTCTTTAATCCCAGTACTTGGGAGGAAAAGGCAGGCAGATCTCTATGAGTTGGAGGCCAGCCTGGTCTACATAATGAATTAAAGAAAAGCTAGGGCTACTTAGTGAGAGATCTTGTCTCAACAAAACAAAAAAAACCAACCCCCTCCCCCCTCTTGCAAAGGCTGGTTTCTTGTCTGGCTTGTTTAGGAGGGAATGAGCTTTCCAGTTAGCTGCTGGATATGACCCTCCCTCTCCCCTCATTCCTCCCCTCTCTTCCCCTTTTCTCACCCTTTGTCCTGCAGCACTGTGTATTCATTTGCTCAGTTGAGCTAGGCCTTGGGCCAGGTGCTGGAGGTTAAAGATTTTAGGCTCTCTCCTCTTGAAGCTTTGTTGGGGAGACTCAGGAATAAACAGAGTGTAGGTTGGGAAGTGGTAGGTTGGGAGAAGAACTTTGGGTCGTGGGGACAGGGCACATGGAATGATTGTCTCCGGAGGGGTGGAGGAAGGGTCAGAAAAGTGCCAAGAAGAAAAGCATCTTAACAGAGCAAGATTTTGCCCTGTAAAGAAGGAGGAGGGTAGATATTCTAGGCAAGGATCCAGCCTATATATACAAAAGCCCGGGGGCATTTAGGGAAAAAAAAAAAAAAAAAGTAATAGCCCAAGGAACTGCAGATCCTGTAGTGCCCAGTGTACCCCAGGTCCTCTCTTTTATTCCCTCTCCACCTCTCCCTTTCTCATAGGACGATGCCGGCAGTGATCTTCTGGCAATGGGTAAACCAGTCCTTCAATGCCTTGGTTAACTACACCAATAGGAATGCAGCTTTCCCCACATCACTCAGGTAGGAGACCTAAAGTGAAGGTCATCCTCTTGCCTCCCCAAGAGCAACCCTGAAGGGCTTTGGCTGTGGTTCTTTCCTAGGTGGGGGCCCACTCCCTGCAGGTGGTCAGGTTGCCCTTTTCCAGTGTTTGGGATGTTTTTTTAGACTGATTAGGAGAGTTATCTTCTTCCCAGACATGTTCAAAATATGTTTGTTCATTTTAATGAGTTTTTCTTATTTTTTTAAAGGTTTATTTTTATTTATGTGTACCTGTATGTCTGTGTGTGCTGTGTAGGTACAGGTGATTACAGAGGCCAGAGAGGGCATCAGATCCCCTGGAGCTGGAGTTACAGGCAGTTGTGAGCTGCACCATATGGATGGGTACTGGGAACTGAACTTGGGTCCTTAAAGATGAACAAGTGCTCTCAACCACTGAGCTATCACTCCAGCCCCAAATTTCTCTTAAGTGTGAATTATATACTCAGGCAAGGTTCCAAAAGCTGGGTATACTTTGATGAGTAAAACATTGTGGTCCTTAAACAAGATCTTTTTTCTTTTCTTTTTCTTTTTTTTTGTTCTTTTTGAGACAGGGTTTCCCTGTAGCCCTAGCTGACCTGGAATTCACTATGTAGACCAGGCTGGCCTCCCAAGTGCTGGGACTAAAGGTGTGTGCCATCATACCATCCTTAAACAAGACCTTTTTAAACAGGCTAGGCATGGTTGGCACACACCTTTAATCTCAGTCCTCTGGAGACAGAGGCAGTTAGATTTCTGTGAGTTCAAGGTCAGCCTCATCTACATAGCAAGTTCTATGCCAGCCAGAGCTACACAGTGAAACCCTGTCTCAAACAAAACAAAACAACAACGAAAACTTTTAATGAACACAGCGACCTATCTCAGATTGGGATTGCTGCCATTTCAGACATAAACAAGGTAATAAAATAGTGAACAGCAGAGGGCTGTTTATGGGGATAGGCCCTTTGGGAGATGGTATTCATCTGGGTTATGAAAGATAGGGACTTACTCACACAGGAGCCCAGGAGGGGCTCCTCTGCCTTCTGCTGATTCTCTAGACAGAGAGCAGTATAGGCTCTGAATTAAGACCAGACGTGGTAGTGCATGCCTTTAATCCCAGCATTCTGGAGGCAGAGCCAGGCAGATCTCTGTGACATTGAAGCCAGCCTGGTCTACATAGCAAGTTCCAGGCCAGCTGGGACTACAGAGAGACCCTGTCTCAAAAAGACTCCCCTTCAAAGAAAGACTATGATATGTTTAAAATACTAAAAGAGGGACCAAGGACACTTGGGCATTGAAGATAAGGTGTCCTGAGATGAACCTGGGGCCTGATCACTTCAGTCCTGAAGTTTTGTTATTAGTTTCTCACCAAAGCCTCTGGCTTTGCCTCAGCACCTGTGGCTCACCAATGCCAACACCTATGCTTTCTTCCCTCTGGTATTTCACTTCCGCTAGGCAGATGGCTCTCTCCTATTTCACAGCCACTACCACTGCTGTGGCCACGGCCGTGGGCATGAACATGTGGACAAAGGTGTGTATGGTTGGGGCTGCTGTGGGCATGGTGGTCACCAGGGGGCAGCAAAGTTCTAGGGAAAACAGCAGAGGTGTGCCCACACTGGTCCTTCATGGGAGTTTGGGGATTTCATAGACCGGGATCCCAGATCCCAGACTATGGTCTGGACATACAGCAGTAGCAAAGTTTAATTGCCTCTCCTCATTTATAATCCAAAGCCTCCTTCACTTACATCTTCCCATGAGCTTGAACAGCTCCCATTGTTCCTTGCTTCTAACAGAAAGCTCCACCCTTGGTGGGCCGCTGGGTCCCCTTTGCCGCTGTGGCTGCAGCTAACTGTGTCAATATCCCAATGATGCGACAGCAGTGAGTACGGGAACCCTGTTTTCCTTTCACACAGGATTAGCAGGGAAGGGCAGGAAGCCAAGTTGGTGGGTAGCTAGCTTCTTGAGGCTGAGGTGATACGGAAGACCATGGAGCCCAGCCTCTGAAGGGTTTTGGAGGGCTACCACTCCTGGGACCATTACTAGAGGGGTGGGTGACTTATAATTAGTATCTTGATTGTTGAGGGATGGGGAGGGGGAGGTAGCATGGACCTGTCGGGGGTAGATCCTGTCAATTAAAAAATTTTTATTGGGCCGGGTGTGGTGGCGCATGCCTTTAGTCCCAGCACTTGGGAGGCAGAGGCAGGTGAGTCTGTGTGAGTTCAAGGCCAGCCTGGTCTACATAGTGAGTTCCAGGTGTTTTGAGACAGGGTTTTGCTATATAACCCTGGCTGGCCTTGAACCCACTCTGTAGCCCAGGCTGGTCTCAGACCTGCATTGATCTTCTGCCTCTGCCTTTGGAATTCTGGAATTACAGGTGTGTACTACCATCTACAGCTTGTTCTGTTGCATTATTTTCCTTTGCCTTTTGGGGCTTGAACCCAGAGGCTCTTGCATGTTAGTTAAGGACTCTACGTCTACACACCCAGCCCAGTTTCTGTTTCTTTTTTCTTTTTGTCTTTTTCTAGAATATAATGGATACTACATACATAAGAACTGGTTTTCATCATCGTCCATAGCTACAGCCTATTTTGTTGGCAAATGAAGGCTTACCACAGTAACCCCTGTAGAAAGAGTACATGGAATGTCACAAATATACATCTTTCTCCATCCAGCTTTCTCAGAAGTTTAATGAGTGTAACTGCCTATCTGGTCTCCAGTTGAGAGCTGTCAAGAGCTGGCCCAAGAACAGAATAGCCACTGTTTGGGGAGTGACAACCATGTCAGGCACTGTGGCCAGCATCTCATTTAATCCTCTTCAGGTTCTATGAATTAGACTGGTGCCAGGATTATCGCTTTTCCAGATGAGGAAAATTGAGGCTTTAGAAGAATTAAGGATCATCCTCAAAATCACAGACACGGTCTGCAGTTTCCCAAGTCAGCCTAGGCAGTGTGGGCCCAGGGCTGGCTCTCTTAGCCACTGCTCTGGATCACTTCTAATATCACTCCCTGAAGTGCAGAGGGAGATTGAAAGGCCAGACTGCAGGAGGGGGCTTCCTGGAATTTCAGTGCCCTGGTGTTGGTGGTCTTGTGTGTCACATGCTGGGCAAACTCCCAACACCTATTTTCTAAGTCCAGAAATTTCTGTTTATGTTTAGGGAACTCATCCAGGGCATCTGTGTGAAGGACAGGAACCAGAATGAGCTTGGCCGTTCTCAGGTGAGCAGAGGAGAGAATTCCTCCTCAGACTCTGTCCCCTCCATAGTGACCAGACATGGCCTGGGTGCCATTACAGGATGGAAACAGCTTTCCCCTGGCTCCTTCCTCATTCTCTATTCCCATGTTCCTCTGTTCAGAACAGGCTTCCCTCATCATTTCAGGTTCTGAAACCATAGAAGTTTGTCTGGGTAGGAGGGGTTGGGTAAGGATACTTAGCTCCTGGTAGGTCTATCCCACCCCCTTTACCAGCTCAGACTTGGCCATGACCCTGACTTTTTTCTTTATGGTGTGGATAAGTGATTCCTGAAAACTATTCTGCCTTCAGAGAGCTGCAGCTGTGGGCATCACTCAAGTGGTTATTTCCCGGATCACCATGGCAGCCCCTGGCATGAGTAAGATGGGGAACACCTCCCATCTTGGGGGACACTTGAACATCTGCTAGAGACCTCAGCCACCTCAGCTTTCAGGTGGGAGGCAAGACACCAGCAGCTTTGCTTCTCTTTCTGGTTTTCGTGAGGGCTGAAAGCCCAGGAGCCCACCCATATTCCTAGATTTCAGTTAATCTGATTTTGGGGAGAATGGTATTTTCATTTAACTAATATTCACTAAACACCAGTGGGAGGTACCTGGGAGACAGTGGTAGAGAGAAGATATTGCCTGCTGTGTTTTTCAGCAGGGGTATATTCACAGAATAGGATACGGAACTTGTTTGCATGAGCCTTCAAAGAGTTTTGATTTTTTTGTTTTGTTTCGTTTGAGACAGGGTCTCCCTGTCACCCCAGCTATCCTGGAAGTCACCATGTAGACCAGGTTGGTCACAATCTCTCAGAGGATCCACATGCCTCTGCCTCCTGAGTGCTGGGATTAAAGGCATGTACCGCCATGCCTGGCAAGAGTTTTTAATTTTGAGAAGGATGCTGTGGGTCTGGTGGCACATGTCTGCCTGTTGTTTCTCATGGACACATTTTTCAGGCATGCTTTCACTGGGTCATAGAGAGAGGCTGGGTAGCAGTGCCTATGTATTTCTCCCAATGACAAATATTTTCTAGAACTTCTGGGAAAGTGGGAGCCTTCTTCCGCCTCTGATATGACTGCAGAACTAGGTCTTGGGGGGAGTCTTCCAACTTCCCTCTCAGCCACTTTCCTGGTCTCTTCTAGTCTTGTTACCAGTCATCATGGAAAGGCTGGAGAAGCTGCATCTGATGAAGGTAGGTGGGGTTCCCTCTGCCTGGAGCCCCTAGCCCCACTGAGATTCCTTCCCCATAGCCATTGCCTCATATTCTTACTAGAGTAGATTCCATACCTGTCCCTACTGGCCTCAGTTTCAGATACCAGAACCTGTCTCTGATCTTGTCAGACAGCAGGAAAATCCCCCTTCTCTCCTTTAGGGCAGCAGATCCTATCCTTGGTTTCTAGCTGGCCAAGAACATGGGGTCCACTGTAAGGTATCTAGGTTCCATGTGGACTTTTTTTTTTTTTTCCTGCAGAAAGTCAAAATGCTGCATGCTCCATTGCAGGTCTTGTTGTCTGGGTGCTTGTGAGTATGGTATTTTGATGGTTTGGAGTCTGTGGTGGCTGGGGCATCCAGCACATGTCTTAACCTGATTTCAGAGGTGGCCAGGCAGAACATAGTGGCTCCTGTGCAGCCCAGGTAGCTGAGGCAGGAGGATCATGAATTCATGGTCAGCTTGGGCTGCAGAGCATGACCTGGTGTCTCACACTTGTCATCCCTGCAGTTAGGAGGCTGAGACAGGAGAATCAGGTCAGGCTCACTTAGCAAGTTCAGGGCCAGCTTGGAGTATATGAGACCCTGTCTCAAAAAACTAAAACAAATAAAAAATCCAAACGTGGCTCTGTGACACATCTGAATAGGAGGTAGAGTCATTTCCAAGATCCTCTCTGTCCTCAGGTCTGGAGCAGTTTTAGAGACGAGACCAGAATGATGAGGCGTAGGTTTGGAGGCTGTCAGGCACCGTGGCAAATGGCACGTCATGCCAATGTTCTTAGGCACTTGCTGTTGACTGGATGCCATTAATTATGCTTTGCTGATCATACAGACAATGCCTTTCTCTGTGTGGCAGAGGTGCTTGTACAGGTCTTGGAGTTTGCTGTTCACTCTCCTTAGTCATATCATCATTTTCCTCCTCTGTTTATCATGGATGTGGAGTGGGGGTTGGGGTGAGGGAAGGATTTTATCTCCATGTCAAGATGAGTTTCCTAGAATATAGTTCAGTGGTAGAGTGCTTGACTAATATGCATGAGGCCCTGGGTTCAATTCTTGAGAGCAAGGAGGAAAAAAAGACACTGCTTGCTGATGATAGCTCAGTGGGTAGAGTGCTAGTCTAGCATACTGAGTTAGATCTCTTAGCATTGTGTAAATCAGGATGGTGACACACAGGCAGGCCTGTCCTCAAAGCAGGGGTAGAAGCAGGAGGGTTACGAGTTCAAAATCATCCTCTGCCTCAGCCAGCTTCTGCCCTTGGGCTACCTGAGACCCTATTTCAAAACAACAAAGAGTAGAGCAGGGCTGGAGGGAAAGGACTATTGGACAGGCAGGCCAGGTGTGGCTATCTTCCCCTTCCTTATGAGGGCTTAGGGACAAGGTGTGGTAGGGTCACAGGGACATGTCTCTAACACTCTGGTTTCTCCTTTCTTGCAGCCTCCTCTTCATGGTGCCAGTGGCATGTGGGCTCTTCCCACAGGAATGGTATCAGCCGTTTGTTGCCTGCTTTCTTTTAATGAATACTCTCTCCTACTGTTTCCCTGACCCATCCACTGTTCAGGGAGAGGGGTGTGTGGCAAGAAAGCAGCAATTTCCAAGGACAAGTGCCCATCAGCCTAAACTCTGGGCCTCTTAATACTGGGTAGATGGCAAACTAGTAAGATCTCCATGGGGTGGCAGTGGGAAGCCAGGAATAAGAGTTGCTCTTGCCCAGTGGAGAACGTGGCTGATGGAGGACAATGGGAGACTTCGTGTCCTGCTGACTGAGTGTTAGGAAGGTCCCTTCTGACTGGATTTGGTCTTTATTCTGCCTGATGCTTAGGTCTTTGCAATGACTTGTAACTTTTTGTTTCCCTTATATTTCCTGGTAAGAACAGTGGGAGAAGGGATGATGGGAAAGGGAGGGGAGATACCAGCCTGGGGTCAGCAGAGGCTGGCTCCCTGAAACCGGTCTCCCCAGCCTCTGTACTTTACTTCTGTATGGGTTCATTGACCATCTACCAGGTACCCCTTATGTTCTAAGCACTGTGTTTATAGTCTGGTAGAGAAGATAAAAGTTTAGCCAGGCGTGGTGGCGCACGCCTTTAATCCCAGCACTCGGGAGGCAGAGGCAGGCAGATCTCTGTGAGTTCAAGGCCAGCCTGGTCTACATAGTGAGTTCTAGGACAGCTGGGGCTACAGGGAGACCCTGTCAAAAAAACACCAAAAAAAAAATAAAAAAGTTTAAGAATTTCAGCCCAGGTAGAATGAAGTAGAGGTAGCATTTATTTTGATACACTACTTGGCCAATAATAATTTTGACTGGAAAAAAATCAAGAGCAGTAGTGTGTACCTATTATCCCACATTGAGGGTGGAGAGTGGGGCTAAAAAGGATTAAGGGTTCAAGATCAGTCTGGGCTATATAGACCCTAGAGACTCTATCTTAAAGCACACCCCCCCCTCAAATAACAACAAAAAAACCAAGTTGTGTGGTAGTACATGCCTAATATCTAAGCACCTGATAGGTGGAAGAAGGGGGATCAGGAATTTCAGACCAGCCTGGGCTACATAAGACCTTTTCTCAAAAATTAAGAAAAGGTATGGGGAGATAGCTCAGTTGGTAAAGTGCTTGCCATGACTCTCATGTTAGGGAGGCATAGACAGGATGATCCCTGAAGCTCACTGGACAGCTAGCCTAGCTGAATTGGTGAGCTCCAGGTTCAGTAAGAGACCCTCAAAAAATAAGATGGAAGGCAATTAAGAAAGACACCTGATGTTGACCTCTGGCCTCCACATACACATGTACACATACTTGCCCATTCAGATAATATACACACAAAAAGGGAAGAAATGATTTTTAAAAAGATATTTTGTATTTTATATGTATGAGTATATTGCCTGTATGCGTATAAATGCATCTGTGTCATCCAGTACCTGCTGAAGATCAGAAGAGGGTGCTGGATCCCTAGGAACTGGAGTTACAGACGGTTGTTAGCTGCCATGTAGGTGCTGGGAATTGAACTTGAGTCCTCTGCAAGAACAGCAAGTGCTCTTACCTGCTGAGCCATCTCTCTAGCCCCCAGGGAAAAAGTGACTTAAAAATTCAGAAAGGCCTCTGTTCTAGTTTCATTTTGTTACTGTAACAAACACCATGACCAAAAGCAACTTAGGGAAGAAAGGGCTCACAGTCCATCACTGAGGGAAGTCAGGGCAGGGACTCAAGCAGGAACCGTGGAGGAACACTGCTTGCTGGCTTACTTGCACAGGCTCCTGCTTAACTAGCGAGCTTATACAGTGCTGCCCAGGGAGTAGTACCACCCATAGTAGGCTAGGCCCTCCCACATCAATTGGTGATCAAGATAGTCCCTCACAGACATGTCCACAAATCAACATAATAAAGAATTACTCAGTTGAGACTTTTGAGGTGATTGTAGGCTGTGTCAAGTTGGTAGTTAATGCCAGTTAGGACAGACTTGTTGGAGGTGACATGCAAGGTGGGCTTTTTTTCAGGGTAAATTGTTGATTGTCCTGGATGGTATGCTCCTAACCCCTTTTGGTTCTCTTTTCAGTGAATTACCAGTTTCCTATCTAGAACCAGAGCTCCAGGACACCATCAAAGCCAAGTATGGTGAACATGTACCCTATGTCTACTTCAACAAGGGTCTCTAAATGCTCCATGGCATCAAGGACCAATCTGTCCCCTGTATGGACCAGTTCCTCCCTGGCTGTGCGAAACTGTCTCCACATTCCTTTTTGCAACAAGGTCTAAAGGCTAGGTTGAATAGAGTAGGCAGGTGGGGAGATGACTCCAGTTTCTACATGAGCACCTAGGTTATTGGACTCCAGAGAACAAAAATTAAAAGGGGGAATGAAGTGACTGGGGATATAGCTCAGTTTGTACAGTGTTTACTTAGTATGCACAAAGCCATAGACAAAGCATGGTTGGATATGGTTATAATCCTAGCATTCTGGAAGTAGAGGCAGGAAGATTAGAAGTTTTTTCTTTTTTGTTGTTTTTGAGACAGGATCTCCCTGTAGCCCCAGCTACCCTGGAACTTGCTATGTAGACCAGGCTGGCCTCAATCTCCAAGTGCTGGAAGATTAGAAATTTAAGGTTATCTTTGGGTACATAGGAAGTTTGAGGCTAGCCCAAGCTAGAGATTCCGTCTTAAATGAGTGGGCAGGGAAAAAGGACCAAAGTCTTCTGTCTACTTTGTCCTTAGCCCGTTCCTCAAGACCAGAAGTGAGGCTATCTCAGCAGAAGCCGCTGGTTATCTAGGCAGATACTTAAACTGGAGTAATTAGGAAATTTGTGATTCTTTCCTAGTCAGGATTAGGGAAAAACCCCTGGGACAAGAGCTCCAAGTCCTTTTTCTTCCTTTTGCCCTCCTCCCAGGTAAGGGACACTTTTACCTGTGCAATTCTATCCTGACTCAGGAAGGGAAAGGAGACCAGTCTGTGTCCCCTTGGGGCTCTTCTCTACTCTTCCTGGTTGTGCCCTGGGAATATTTATAGACTCATCAGGCACCTAGAGTTATTCCTACTGAAAAAGGAAAAATAACTGGACCAATAAATGCTTTCTTTAGTCCATTAGGTCAAACAGCAGAGAGACTGATAATGTACTGATAGGAAAGGGCAGTTGTAATTGGACACCTCTGAGAGGAAATCAACCAGGACCAAAGAGCTAAGAATGTACACAGCAAAACGCTTCACCAGAGTTCTGTGGTGCTTCACCCTAATGCCCTGACCATGGATGCTGATTTTGTTTTGTCTTAAATCATGTCTGGATCTGTTCTTGGGACCTTTCTGCTGTGGGAAGTCTCTTCTCTCATTGCCGCCTATCTATGTTTTACAAAATAAGTCCCTTTGCTGTGAGTAAAGGGATATGTGTAGCATTTGCCACACATTTTAATGGGTATGATTTCCTGGCCTCCTCCCTTCCTCAGCCTATTAGGTTAAATGCGAGAAAGACCAGCATGTACTGATAGGAAAGGGAAGTTGTACTTGGACACCTCTGAGAGGGAATCAGCCAGGATCAAAGAACCTTAAGAAAACACCGCCAAACAGCCATTTCAGGCTCCCTTATCTGGGCAGCTGAGGTGGCCTCTGGAGCTCCCTGGGGGTCTGTTATGGCCTACCTGGGGTCAGTGTATATATGAGTTTTGCTTGAGGCAGGCAGGTGCATCTCTGAGAGTTCAAAGCCAGCCTGGTCTACATAGCGAGTTCCAGGCCAGCTGGGGCTGCAGGGACAAAAAGACCAAAAAGATTTGCTGATTCTGTTCAAAGGCTATCACTGTGAACTGAATAAATGATTTGAAAGAGCACAAAACATTGTCTTGCAAACCAAGTTACTAAAGTCTGCTGGAAAGCTGGATCTCTGGTCTAACACTGACCTTGGCATATAGAGGGTATCTCAGGTATAAAGGGAATCTATCTATGCCTAGAGGCCATTGTCCATTTCCCTAATTAGAGAGCAGAATCTACTTGCCTCTGCTGAAGCATCACATTTCTCCCAGAAAGAAGAGCTTTGTTGTCTTAGAGCTAGAATTGGTGAGCTATAACACAGCCAAATATACCGGCTACACGGTTTACATGCATTTGAAAACTATGAAAAGGGTTATAAAAAAAACAAAAAACTGGAATGTGTGCCAAAGTCCCCGTGTATGTGTTATACAAGGTCTTACCATAAAAAGTCTCCCCACCAGGTGTGGTGTCACGCCTTTAATCCTATCATTGCAGAGGCAGAGGCAGGCCGATCTCTGGGATGGAGACTAGCCTGGTGGTCTACATAGTTCCAGGCCAGCTGTGGGTATAGGGAGACTCTGTCAAAGAGACCCCAAAAAAAAAAAAAAAAAAAAAGTCTCTTCACTACCCTTGAACAGTGGCTTTAAAAAAATTTTTTTTTAAAAATTTTATGTGTATTCATGCATTACCTGCATGTAGGTAAGTACGCCTGTGTCATGCAGTGCCCTTGGAGGACAGAAGAGGCTGTTGGATCCCCTGGAACTGGAGTTACGGACAGTTGTTAGCTGCCATGTGGGTGCTGGGATTCGAACCCCCAGGTCTTCTGCAAGTACAGCCAGTGTTCTTTACCACTGAGCCATCTCTCCAGCTCTTAAGAGTATATACCAGGGTCACCTGGAGAGCTTGTGAAAACAGGTGGCAGGGCCCATTCCTGGAATTTCCAATTCTGTAGGTTTAAGGTGGACTCAGGATATACATGTAATAGTTTACTGGTAATGTTGATTATGTTGGTCTGGGATCTTACCTGGAGAAATCCTGTTCTAAAGGGGAGGGCCTCCTTCTGATTCCAGCTGCCATTTAGCCCCACCCCTATTTGAAAAAGTTAAATATTTAACACCATAAATTCATGGGTTTTTATTTTTTGAGATGGTCTCAGTATGTAGCACTTGCTGGCCTGAAACTCAACTATGTAAACCAGGCTGACCTTGAACTTACAGAGACCACCTGCCTCTAGAGTACTGGGATTAAAGGTGTATGTCACCCTGCCCTCCCTTTTGTTTTGTTTAGACAGGGTCTTGCTGTATAGCACAGTCTGTCTTGGAACTATCATTTCGCCCCAGACTTCTGAGTGGTAGGATTATAGTTGTATCCCACCATGCCTGACCAAACTCATAAATTATACAATTTAGTGATTTAAAATGTAGTTATAAATCATCACTGTAATTCCAGAATACTTTGATTATCCTCCTAAAGAAACTCCAAGCCATTAGCAATCCTTTCTCATTCCTTCCACCTCTTCATCCCCTTAATTCTTTCCTTCATCTACTTTGTCTCTAGATTTGCCTATTTTAGACACTTAGAATCATACTATGGGCCTTGTGTTTCTGGCTTCTTTAACTTAGCATGTTTTCAAGGTTCATCTATGTTACGGGAAATTTGACATCAGTGTGTGAGCAGAAAAGTCTGTCTTTCAACCTGCTTTCTTTGGGATAGGGGAACCTACCTTTAGTTTTTCCTTTTTCCAAAGGTAAATAGGAAGAGAAACATCAAAATTTGGGAATAACTTCTCACTGTATTCTTTGAAAAGTGACACCTTTCCCTCCGAGATCCTCAAGCTTCCTGGCATGCCCCTTAACAAACAACCATTCTTTGGAAAGTCTAGAGATTGTAGTGATTGCCTGATTCAGGGGCACTTTAATGATCTGATTTTCTTTTAAAGTGCTGGAGATGGAACCCAGGGCCTTGTTAGGCAAGGCTCTGACATTGAGGTCTATTATCCCCAACCCAGGCCACTTTAAAGTGTTCCCTCAGACTGCATTTTGGTCTCATTTTGTAACATCTCTGCCTTTTTTGAATTGACCTGTGGGATACTGAAAGTTATGGTGAATATAAGGTCTTGGTAAGGAACTGCTAGTCCATCTGTCAATAGTTTTGTGTTTGTTTTTGTCCAGTAGCTCTCATGTATAAGGTTCAGAATGCGGCAGAATCCTCTTGTTTACCAGACTGAATTGGAGTTTCCTAATGGTGATGATACCTGGCTTTATATGAATTTCTTAAACCTCCTCGAGGCCAAAATTGGGAGATTCTGGGCTGTGAAAATAATTTTGCTCCTGCCTAGTACATTTTACTTCACTGAGACCTGTGGGACAGATGAAGAAATTAGAAATTGGGAAAAATACTGGTCACTTGGGAAACCAAGACAAAGATGGCATAACCTGGGCATAGGGGTTCATGCTCATAATCCTAGCACTTGAGAGTCTGAGGCAGGAGGATTGCTACAAGGTTGAGGGTAGCCTGGGCTACCAAAATTCCAGGGTATCCTGGGCAACACCTGATACATCCTGTAAATAATTGAGATCTAGTCTTTCCTCTTTTTTCTTCCGTCTCTTCCTTTATCCTTTCCTTTTGGTCTGTGGCCTGTACTAGGCATTGAACTCTGCTTTGTCACTACCACTGAGCCACAGTCTCAGGACAAATATTTTCGAAGGTGAAGCTGCTACATTAATGTTTGTGTTTATGTGGAACAGCACTGTTGCTGTAGTGTGTGGAAGGAATTTGAGATGGGAGAACTGTCCACTCTACAGGGCTTCAGGAAAGCCATTTTATGTAGCCGGAAGATAACATGGATGAAGCTATGCGAGGTGGACTTCAGGGCTATTTCTGAGGTGGAGTCTTTAGAATTTTGTTCCTAAAACTTGGGATGACGGAACACTGCTGCTTCAATAGTGTGAGATTGGAAAAGGCTTGATCCTGGTAGGGCTGTACTTTTTTCTTTTTTTTGGCTTTGATACAGCTGTAGCCCCAGCTGGCCTGGAACTCACTGTGTAGGCTAGGCTGGCCTTGAACTCGCAGAGATCCGACTGCTTCTGCTTCCCGAGTGCTGAGATTAAAGGCGTGCGTCACCATGCTCGGCTGGAATAATTTATTTTCAACCCCCTTTGAAATCATCATACCTCTCCCTTTTTTGTTTTTTTCTTTTTCTGAACTGTGGAAATCTAACACTTCCGCCACACTCAAAAATGGCTGTAACCAGCAAGCATTTTTAATACATCTGAATGGAGCTGCTCGCTGCTCTAGTTACTTCCGCCACTCTCTGCGGGGCAGAACTCACTTTTACACCTCCTCGCTGCATTGAAGATGGCCCGGCTTCCTCCTACTTTTCATTGGCTGGTTCCTTGCTGTTCCCCGCGAGGAGGCGGGACTTGGATTTGATAGACAGCTATTTTGATCAATGGATGAAGGGTGGGAGCCAATGAGGTGCTGAAGCTGGAGACCCTCCCCCGCGTCTGGGAGGGTGTTTTTGCCTGGGGCGGGTGGAACTGAGCCGGAAGCAGGAGGGGAGAGCGAAACAGGAAAAGGGAAGAAGGAAGCAGAGGGAAGAAGAGAGGGAGGAGGAGGGAGGTGGCGGCGCCGTGGCGGAGGAGCAGGAGCAGGAGGGGGATGGAGAGGAGAAGGCTCCTGGGTGGCATGGCGCTCCTGCTCCTCCAGGCGCTGCCCGGCCCCTTGTCAGTCAGGGCTGAGCCCCCGCAGGTAAGGGGAGGGCGTCCGGGCCAGGCTGGGGGCCCCGGGTGGTCGAGGCCTGGCTGGTGGGTGTCTCAAGGAGGGCTGCTTGCCGAGAGTCGAAGGCTGTTGAGAGGGTCCGGTGCGTGGTGTGGGCGGAGCGAAAGGGGTATCCTCGGTGTGTAGCTGAGGACACCTGTGACGGTTTGGGTCTCAGGAAGGTGGCAGAGGCATGGTGCCAGGAGACCTGAGGGGCCTTTGGGACAGCAAGTATGGTAGGTGCGCTGGGGTGACACTGAATATATGCACCTGGCGCTTGTGGGGCTCGTCCCTGAACATATGTGTGTGTGTTAGGGTACACAGGCCATTGACTGGTCTGAGAGGGAGGTAGGCCTGACAGGACATTTACTTCAGGCTGGACAAAGGGAAGATCTGAGGGCTCGGCACCTTGGCATGTTGGAGGGTAAGATCTTGGTAGGCAGGTGGGATGAAGTAGAGAGGGGCGGACCTGAGCTGTATTGTAAAGCGCTTGTTCTGGGACATAGTCGCTGATGCTGATCTGAGCCACTCAGGGCCTTTGAGCAAAGGGTGGTTCTGATGCCAATATGGACAGCAAATGGAGCGCTCTGGCACCCTAGCTTTTCTTGCTGGATGGCTTGTGCTTTGTACAGGCAGAGAAGCTTGCCTGTGCTGACTCCAGCTCCGGGCTGGCATTTCAAAACCCTAATTGAAGTGTTACTCTTGGTGCCAAATTGGATGGGATGCTGGAGGGGGAAATCCCCCCTCTCTTAAATTTGGCAAAGCATCTACCATTTTATTTTCTTCACTTTATTCCCTTCACTGTCTTTTTCAGGAAAACATTCACACACAAACACAGTGACAAAGTCAGTACAACTTAGCACTTGAAGATTGCAGCTGTGATGAAGAGCAGAAACTGCTAGCAAAAATACTTAGTTTGGTGTTTTAAAAGAAACACAAAACAGCTAAAAGTGATTGAGTCTTCCTTTGTAGGCCAGGCTGGCCTTGAACTCAAGATCCTTCTTCAGCCCAAGTTTTGAGATTTGATTGATTTTTAAGTTAGTTGAAATTCACACACACACACACACGCACACACACACACACACATATATATATATAGGTCTTTTTGAGACAGGGTAGCTCCAGCTGTCCTGGAACTCACTATGTAGACCAGGCTGGCCTTGAACTCACAGATCTGCCTACCTCTGCCTCCTGAGTGCTGGGATTAAAGGCGTGTGCCACCATACCCGGCAAAACTAACATTTTAAAGTGAATCGTTCAGTGGCATTTAGTTCAGTGTTGTGCAACCATCATCTCTATCTCGGTCCAAAACAGTTTAATC